AGGCCCTTCCCCTCCCATCAGGCTCCTCCCCTCCCACAGAACCGGGAGTTGGGGTGATCTCTCCTTTGATGTTTGACTTTCAAAGAGGTGGTTCCCAAGTCCTTAAGATAAAGACATTCCTGGTTCTTAAAGCTGACAAAAGACCTATTTTGTTTGCATGAGGATTTATATACATTTCAAAGAAGAAAGTACTTACAATTTTATGTTTTCTAAAGAAATGTTCTCAGAAGAAGGGAGGGGAAAGCAATCTCACCCTCAACCCCCGCAATTTTTAACCGAGAATTAAGCCTCTTAATTTTAATTTGTATTTGTCCTTACAATCGAGAAGCTCATGACACATCCAGCTGGCCTACTAAACAACCACAAGAGCTTCACCGGATGTCTTGTCAACCGCGTAACACTGCTTCCCCAGCCACCTCAGCACTGCCTGCACCCCCGGCCTAACCACAATCTCAGCGCCGCGCATCTCAGGGCTATTTATTTATCACTGTGGTGCTCCTCCTGCTATCAGTTTCTATCAGGATCAAATAGAGAATTAAGCCTCTTATGAGAGGATTTTCTCACCCATGAAATCTTGATAAAAGTGATTCTTGCTATGTCCATCTTCAGTGCTGATATGAGAAGATGATGAAATAATGTGTTTTAAAGCAAGGGCTTTGAGAGCTGTCAGTTGTAAATATAGATGAGAGACGGTTAAATTCAGCAAACACCTATTTTCACATGCCCAGCGCTGTACAAGGCAGTATCAGTAATGCAAACAAAATAAAACAAAACAAAAAAAACCAAACAAACCCTTGCTTTGAAGAAATCAACATTCTTCCATGAAAAATGCTAGAATACATTTCTATAAGTTTGCTCTATATTCTAGACACTAATCCCTTACCAGGTATATGATGTGTAAATATTTTCTCTCATTTTGTGACTTGCCTCTTTACTCTGTTGATATTGTCCTTTGGTACACAAATTTTTGAAATTTTCAGTAAGTCCAATTTGTCTATTTTTTTCTTCTGTTGCCTTTGGTATCAGATCTAAGAAATCACTGCCAAATCTAAAGTTGTAAAATTCTGTTCTATGTTTTTTCTTCTAATAGTTTTACAGGCTTAGGTTTTACATTTAGGCCTTTGATTCATTTTGAGTTAACTTCCGTGATAGATGGTGGTAAGTAAGGGGCCGACGTCATTCTTTCGTAGGTGGACACACAGTTTTCCCAGCACTACTTGTTGAAAAGCCTGTCCTTTCACCACTGAATGGTCTTGGTAGCCTTGTCAAACAATCATTTGGTCGTATACGTGAAACTCTTCCTTTTGAAAAAAAAAAATTTTTTTTTTAATTTGAAAATTTCCACATGGTAGCATTCACTCTTTGTGCTAAACAGTTCTTTAGGCTTTGACAAATGTGTAGAATTACACATCCAACCCCACAATCAAGGTAATAGTCCACCATGCCCCAGATTTCCCTCTCATTGCTTGATACAGTAGAATTTATCTTTTTTGGGGGCCGGGGGGAGTAATCATGCTTTGGCATTACATTTAAAAACTCTCTGCCCTACCTTTTATTTGAGCTGATTGGTCATACGTTAGAGAAGGGTTTCCCTCTGCATCACTGATAAAGAAGCGCTTAGAGACAGACCTTGCCTCCTATGACACCACGGAATGCTGGATTACAGCACACACAGTGTTTGCTTCCAGTGAACCATCTTCCGGCAGAACCGTATTGTTTTACATTTCCAACTGTTAAAAATCTGTGACCAGACTTTCCCCAGGCTTCTCAGTAGAAGCAATACTGTCTCAGTTAGCAAGACATGTATTTTAAGCACTGATTGTGTTATATTAAGCATTGTGCTGAATAGGGAGGTTATGTTTTGAACAATAATTTTATTTAAAAAAAAGGGATCTGGGGCTCACTTGAATTTCCTTATGCAGGTATTTGAACTCATCCTGATTTCTGCTTACAATATTTATGAGGTTCTATGAAGTGAAAAAGCCACATCAGCAGTTAAGAAAAGTGGTTTTGTCTTTCACAGGATAAAACTGCACATTATCATGAATACTTTGATTTCCTCTGCAGGTCTGGGTATCTTTTTTGATTTTTTGATTAAATAAGCTTGCATGACAAATAGGCTGTTTTTCACTCTTAAAATGCAAACTTAAAATCTCTGTGGTAGAAGGGCAACTGCTGTAAGCTGGCAGGGGACCATGAATTCACCAGCCCTTCTGAGGACAGTCCCCGCGGCCAGCCCCCCGGGCCTCCCTCTCCTCCTGTGCTCACACCCGTGGAGTGTGGCGACAGCTGGGAGAAGGCATGAGGTGTGTTCCTCCAGAAAGCACACCTAGCTCCATCTCTACTGTTCGTTCTCATATTTTATTGGTACAGTTGAATTTAAAATGCATTTTGGTACAAGCCTGTCAGTGGGAAAAAAGACCACTCTGACATCCAATTTTATTGGTTTCCAATCCATGCAGAAGTATAAATAAATATGTAAAAACTGCTTCCAAACGCTGTGCCTTGTGCAAAGAGCCAATAAAATAAAACGCACAATGTGTAGATTTTCAGCTCAAGGTTTACTCGGACGACAGGCTAAGCCTCACCTGCCAATTGTCCTTTAAACTGTCCCGTCTCATCGCCCATGCCCTCCCCTGCCCCCTCTCCCAGTCCTGACCTGGAGAACACAGTGTCCTGCTTTCATTTCTCTGGGTCACGCACGGATAAAACCTTCTGCCCTCGGCTACTTTTAACAAGAGTGAGATCACTGGGAGTTTGCAAAATAGATGCACAGAATAATGGTCAATATTCCAATTATTAAAGGGCAAAGGACACCCTAACTTCAGAGGAGGAAAAACATACAAATGAACAGTATGCCCAAGGACAAACCTCCACACATGAAACAAAGCAGAAAAGGAAAAAAAAAATCCTGAGACAGCCAAGTCCTCTATCAAAACAGAAACATCTGGAATCATGGTGTTAACGCTTGTGGCTACGGGGTCGGGAAGAGCACTTCCTTTGCACCAGCAGACGGTGCGGGGGCCTGGTACTACTTTCCTATAAAGAAAGCAATTTGCTATATTGTGAAGAGCCTTGAAAATGTTCACAGCTTCTGACCCAGCCATTCTTCTTTAAAAAGGCTCTGCTAAAAAAAATAATCAGATACTTGCACATCTTCTCACAGATGGCCAGCGTGGCTTTATTTATAATAGTTCATTTTGGAAACACCCTAATGTTAAATTAATGATAGCACAGCCATATGTTGAGATACCATACGGCCACAAAAATCTTGATTTTTAAAGGACTCAGATTACTTCCCAAGATAATGTTAAGTGAAAATATACTGACTTTAAAATACATTGGAAAGAAATAAACTAAAGTGTTAAAAGCAGTTTTCTTAGCATGGAGGAATTATGAGTGACTTTAAGCTTTTCTTTCCAACTTCTCCCTCAAAATTTTGTTAAGTTTTTTAATCAGACAATATAAAGTATTAAAAAAAATCTCAATATGAAGAAAAAATGGAGACTTGCATGGAAAAATGCAAAAAGTGCAAAGCCTGCTCAGGTTACGAATACAGATTTCTGATCTTATTGTAGGCACCTCGGAAAAAAGGTCTGTCTCCCACAGCTTCGAGACCCCTGAGCAGAGAACACTGGGGCTCTCTCTCCCCTTTCTTGAGCCCATTCCTTCCAGAGGAAGTGTTTTGTTGTAAAAGTAACAAACGCTTACTGCAAACCTCAAACAGTGGGAGAGTGTATAACATAAGAATGGTAGATGCCACCCTGCTTTGTTTCCCCACACACTGGGGTACAGTCTGCATGTAATAATACATGCCAGTGCTTAGCAAACAGGTCCACGGCTTCTGACAAATGTCAGGACACAGGACATTTTCATCACCCCCAAATGCTCCTTTATGTTTCCTGAAGTCCATTCTCTCCCAACTTGCTTTCTGTCACTATAAATTAGTTTTGCCCGTGGTAGCGTTTTCTACAAATGGAATGACACCTGTTGCTTTCAATACTGTCTCTGAGATTCACCCCTGTTGTGTCACGGGTAGTAGTGTTCTGCTGTGTAACTATATCATCACTGGTCTGTCCAGTGATAGTGACTTCACTGTAATCACCTTATAAGGCCACAGATTCATTCCCAGAAATGTGGTAAGTCATGTCCCCAAGTGTGAAGACTGATACATTAAACGTCTCCTGTATGGGATCCCCAAACCTAAGTCTGGTCTTGGATGCATGAGAACAATACCACAAAGGGGTCACAGCATAACGATACTGATCTAGCTGGTTGAAGCTCATGTCTAAACCCGTATCTATGAACAACGAACAACGATTAGACATTAATGGATTCCAGCCATTCACTGCGATCAAGAAACCAAAGTATTTGTCTTGACATACTACATTTAAAATCTGAGTCACATATTTTATTAATTATGGATTTGCCAACATTTTTTTCAGTCATTCTGAATTAATTTTATACTTAAA